CGCCGGCCAGGATTTGCTTGCGCCGGGTCCGAGTTACTCGGCCCTGGAGCATGCCCTCCGGGAGGTAGATCCGTCCAGCCTCCCCGGGAGCCGGGCCCGAGGGGGTTGAGGCCGAGGTGGAGGCCTTGTCCACGGTCAGGGGATCGGCCACGGCCATGGCCGCTTGCACGGCGGCCGCGGCCGCCGCATACAGCCCGGAATCCAGGGCCACAGCCACCGGATCGACATCGGTCCCGAAGACCGACACGTAGCCGGAGTAATCGCGATCGGATGGCGAGGCGCCCAGCGCCATTCCAAAGCCGGGCCCCAGGTCACCCTCGCCGGGGGCCGATGCCACGGACGAGCGCGAGGAGCTGGCACTGGGGCCGGGCTTGTTTGGCTCGGGATCGGCTTCCTCGTCGTCGGCCGCTTGGCAGGGAGCCAGGAGGGCGGCCGCCCTCTTCAAAGTCCCGGACATGCGCTCCACGAGTGTCAAGTCCAGGGGAACGCTGTAGGTGATGTCCTCGAAGACCAGCACCGAGCCCGGGCGCGAGGTGGCAGCCGTGTCTGCCCGACGTGCGGGAGGCGCGAGAGGGGGATGGGTGAGATGCAAGCAGCGAGAGAGAGAGAGAGCGAAGTGAGAGCAGGAGGGAAAGGGGGGGGGGGCGCGCCAGCGGAGGAGCGATCTTGCGCACCGGAGGAGTCAAATAGCTCGTTGATGATCTGATCCGGCAGGCTGGCCGGATCCACATCATCCTCGAGGGCGGTCGGATCGGGTGTCTGGGCGGGCGACGGGCCCGGAGGATCCGGCAGAGTGTCAGACGCCGCGGAATCCGCAGCCTGGGGAGGCTGCCCCAGGCTGGCGGCGGGAGGCAAATCAATGTCGGTAGTCATTGCTTCGGCTGAGAAGCAGTTAGCCGGCTGGTCCCTGAGGGATGTCCGCGGTGGGGACGCGATCTGGCAGGCAGGGAGGGAGGGGGGGGGGGAGGCGGATGGGCAGGGCCAGGAGTGCGAGGGGCGCACGGGAACGGTGTGGTACCGGCATCCAGGAGCGGCACCCCTCGGCGTGCTGGCGGAAATAACGGCGCCGAGAAAGTGCAGGTCGGTGCGTGAGTTTGGAGGATGGGGAAGGGGGGGGGGGGCAAGGACAGACGGTGGGGAGGCGCAAAGAAAGGGCATCCACCCGCAGGCGGGTCCCCAGGTGGGGGAGGCATCCTGGCAGTGAGCCGCCCAAGATGCGAGGCAGGGCTCCCAGCACCCAGCAAGCAGGGCATGGATCCGCCCAGGCAGGGATCTCCCACCCTGCCGTCCTCGGATGCCTGTTGCCTGCCGCCAACAAAAGGGGGTAGACCATGCCGTCCCCAGGGCAGGGTCCGCGGCCAGGCTCACGCGTCCGGCCGCCAAGGAGGGAGTGCCCACGCATCCGGCAATCAGCCCCCCGTTTCAAGATAGAAGGCCCTCGCCGGAGTTGGATCAGCCGGCGGGAACATCACGCCGGCCTTTCCCGCCACCGGAGCGGCGGCACTCGGATAACGCTGCCCACGCATGATCCCGGTCCCGGGTCGCTCGTTTTTTTCTCATGCCTCCGCCTCTCGTGGCGGTAGACGGCCCGCGCGAACTTCCCCCCCTGGCTTTCGCGGCACGGTCGCCCGCGGGCCGGGGAAGGGAGCGCTTCCACCACCGCGGCACATGCTCGGCGCTGCCTCGGGGCGCGGGGCGCGCGCGACCCGGGTCATGCTTGATAAGTCTTTCCTTGTCCTTCATTGTGTTCCTCGCCGTCTCTCCCCCCCTCTCTCTCTCTCTCTAGCCCTCGTCTCACGCTTTCCTGCGGGCTCCTGATTTCCCGTCCCCCTTTTGGTTGGTGCTCCTCGCATGGACTTTTGCGCGCCGGTCGCCACACGCACGCATGCACGCACGCACACCGAGTTTCACAGTTTGCCGACGCTTGGCGTGGGGTTTCCTCCGTTCGGCGCCACAGGGGGCATGTCCTCGTCCATACTCTCTCTCTCTCTCTCGCTCCATCTGAGGCTCAGTCTCTTTCTCAAGGGCCGGCGTGCCGGCCCGGCGTTGGCCCGGCCGCCGCCTCGGACACACCTTCCCGGCCTCCGGAATGCCTTCCTCCCCCCGTTTTCCCTCGCCACTTTCCCTTTCCCCACACGCGTTCCCGTTCTGCTCTTTTCCTCCTCCTCTGCCCCGTCTCTGTCTCGCGCTTTTCCCCGGAACTCGCTGTTCCCCATCCCTCCCCTGGCTCCGGCTCTCCCCCTGCCTTCCCCCCCCCCTCTCTCCCTCTTTCCACGGCGTCTCCTCCTTCCCCTCCGCCCCCCGTTCCTTGGTGAGCGTACGTCCTCCTCTTTTGACCCCTCTTCCCTCCATTGTCTAGACCTCTCCCTCCTCCCTCCTCCCTATTCCCTGCTTCCTACTCCCTATTCCCTGCTTCCTACTCCCTACTCCCTCCTCCCTCCTCCCTCCTCCCCACTTCCTACTCCCTCCTCCCTCCTCCCTCCCCCCGCTCCCTGTTCCCTGGTCCTTGGCCCTTTTCGGCGGTTTCCCTCACCCCTCCCCTGTTCTCAGTATCTACATCACCCGCCACATGATCCCCGGGGGAGGCTCCTCTTCCGCCGGTGGGGGCGGCAGCGATGGGCCCGGTAGCCCGGTGCCCGGGGGGTCTCCTGGCTCCGCCGCGGCCGCCGCACGCGGTCTTCACCACACCTCCGCCTCACCATCGACACTTCCAGCTTCGGCGGCACACCTGTTCCCCGGGTCACCGCCCGGGCCCCTACACCATTTGGCCGGTTTCGGGACACCTGGCGGGCCCGTTCCCGGGCATCTGCCCCCGGGGCTCGGCGCACCGCCCCCTCATCCGGCGACCCCCTTTGCCGGAGGCACGATGCTGATGGGCGGCTCCGGCCCGGCCGGCGCCCCGGCCACAGTCACCTCTGGTAGTCCGCCCTCTGGCGCCGCGGGCGGCCCCACCCGGCATGTGTTCATCACCAGCCTGCCGGACATGCCTCGAGTTGAGCTTCAAAAGTACCTCGAGCGTTATGGCAAGGTGCGGCTCCCCCCCCC